ATCGTGGGGGGCATAGGCTCCCTTTGTCCAAGTTGTGTGCACTTGATTTAGCGCAAGCGTCGAGTTGGACCTACCTTGAAGAGGTTCTTGAAACCTACCCTGTTCTTTATGTCCACGCTGAGCCACCTTATGCCTTATGCCACGTTTGGACCACAGCAGGCTTTCAGGCACTTAGTCAACGGGGTCACCAGCCCCTCGGGAGCCACCGATTCCAAAAGTTGTTGATCGGCTCGCTTTGGCTGATTCCATGGTCAACCACTTGTGCACTTTCTTGCAAAGCGTGGACAAACGGGGAATACCTTGGGCCTTGGAACATCCTAAGGCCAGCCTGCTTTGGAATCTGCCCAATGTGGAAGCATTGCCCTCAACTTCTGAGGTTGTTTACGATCTCTGCAATTTCGGGTCTTCCCTTAAGCTTCGCCGCCAACTTAGGACCAATTGCAGGGCTCTAAGGTCCTTGAACTGCTTGTGCAAAGGCGATCATTCCCATAGCCAAGTGGAAGGCGGAGTCGTCACGCATCCGCCCGAATTCTGCAAACATGTCGTTCAGGCAGTTGCGCGGCACCATGGTTTGGCTTGCCCCGACGTGGCGTTGTCATCCACGCCAGTTGGTGTTGCCCAGCAGGAGCGAGGCAAGCCTGAAGCTTCGCTACTGCCCGAGTTCGGCAAGGTCTTGCAGGTGGATGTCGATCAGGTTCCGCCAGTGAACCACAAGCAGTGCCTCATACGTCCGTTGGGCGAGGTGCCAGCAGGATCCAAGCTCATCGCCACGTCTCTTCTCAGGGGTGATGCGGGTGGCGATGCGGGTAACGAAAGTAAGAAATTTCGCCTTTCTTTGGGAGTCTTTGCCACACCAGATGAGTTCGTTGATGCGGCTAAAGACTTGCTACATCCTTTTGCTGCTTCGGCTGTTCTGTCACCTATTGTGAAAAGGCGACTGTTCGAGGCCTTGACCAAAGGTCCGGAATGGGTTCAGCGACAACGGTGCTCCAAGTTGAAATTGTGGCTTAGCTGGGCCAAAGAACTGCAAATTGCCGAAGGAGAAATGAAAGGCAAGCTAGACCCTGACATTGGCCGTGTGCTTCGAGGCAAGCGCTTGTTGCTCCTGAAGCGTATTGCTGATGATATGGACTGGCCTGACAAGGATTGGTTGAGCGAGCTCTTGGAAGGGTTTGACTTAGTTGGTAGTCAGAAGCACACCGGGGTCTTCAAGCGAGAGTTGCGACCACAGGCGAGGACCAAGGCGGATTTTCTTGGTGCTAGCAAGTTTTTGCGACCGGCACTTCTGGGCAAGGTTGCCTCTGAGGGTCTGAACGAGCATTCTCAGGAACTTTGGGACAAGACCTTGGAAGAAGTGACGGACGACCTTCTTGAAGGGCCTCTGACGCAGGAAGAGGTTCATGCCAGACATGGTGACCATTGGGTCCCGGTTAGGAGGTTTCCGGTTGTACAATCTTCAGCGGGAAAAAGGAAGCTTCGACCTATTGATGATTTTTCGGAAAATCTAGTCAACGGTTCTTTTTCGTATGCCGATAAGATTGACTTGCGCGCCCTTGACGAAATCATTGTCATTTGCCGATGCTGGACCCAGGCATGCACTTCGGAGCATCAGTTCTTTTTCGCGATGCCTGACGGGCCGCCATTGGTGGGCCGTGTCCACCCTTTGTGGATCAACGGGGCTTGGGAACCTTTGCTTACTACGTTTGACTTGAAGAACGCTTATCGTCAATTCCCGCTATCACCAGGCAGCCGTGCTCATGCAATCATTGCACTGTTGGACCCGAGTAGTCTTGGCGTGGGTTTGTTCGAGTCCAAGGCGCTACCTTTCGGCAGCACAGCGTCGGTGGTTCACTTCAATCGAATGTCTCGGTTGTTTTGGAGGATCGGCCTTGAACTTCACTTGTGGTGGAGTAATTTTTATGATGACTACCCAGTCATGACGCCAACACTGCTTAAGGATTCCACCATGTCGACAATGATGCTCCTGTCCCGGCTGTTAGGGTTTAGTGTTTCCCTTGAGAAGTTGGCCCCTTTCTCTTCGGTTGGTTCGATGTTGGGCGTTGAAGTAGACTGCAGCTCAGCGCCCGATGCGATCATCCGTGTTCGCAACAAAGAAGGTCGTGCGAGCGAGGTGTGTGAGGTCATACAAGGATGCATTAAGGCTGGCGTCGTACGGCAGAGAGATTTCGCCCGTGTCGCTGGCAGGATTCAGTTCTCAGATTCACAAATCATGGGACGTACCGGCAAATTGGCTTTGGCCGAGTTGCGAGCCTCGTCGGCTAAGCACGCCGACAAGTTCCGTCTTGGCGAGCAGGAGGTCAGGGCCTTTGATTTCTTGGTCAGTCGACTGTCCTTTGGTGCTCCTAGGGTTGTGCCCTGTTCGGTTCCCCCGAAACCGATTCTCGTCTTTACCGATGGCGCCAGCGAAGGATCTGTCCACACAGTAGGGGGAATCATGCTTGACCCGCGAGAACAACAACCGAAGTACTTTGCTTGCCATGTGTGCAACAGTGTCGTCTCGACTTGGTCCCGGGACCTTCAGCACATCATAGGTCCAGTCGAGGCCTACGCCGTGCTCACAGTGAGAAAGGTCTTTCATCAGTCACTGTCGGGACGATATTGTGTGTACTTCATCGATAACGACGGTGTGCTACTTAGCTACATCAAGGGTACGTCTTCTAGCAAACCGATGCGAGATATTTTGCTGATGTGGGAGTCCTTAGAGATGCATGCTCACACGTGGGCTTGGTGGGCTCGTGTGCCATCCGCTTCGAACCCAGCCGATGCGCCGTCAAGAGGCGAGCTGGATGAGCTTGTCAAGTCTGGGGCATTGCGTGTGGTTTGTGATTGCCCGCTTACCGGTACAAAACTTGTCGACTTGTAATCAATGGGGGCTCCCGTACTGCACTGCTTGGGGGGATCGGGCAGCCCGGTTCGCCCCGAGCAAAAAGTCCACTGTGCGAGTGATTGAGTATGATTGGAATCATTTCATATCTATATTTATGGAGTCTCGCCGTTGCATAATTCTGATGCCGACTTTTCCTCTTGAATAACATTCTTGAGTACGCGATTGGAAGTTTTTGGATTTTTCCGAGCTTAGCAAAAAGATCAGTTGTAGACTTGTCTACCAACCCCTTTTTGCGTGCGAGGCGAGCCACATGTGGCGAGCTTGCAAAAATCCAAAAGGTACCCTAATCCCTATCCCGTGTGCTTTACCTCACCCTAAGCACCGGTATTTTGGTGTGACCATTTCTTGTGTCGTGCCATTCTGAATGCTTGGCTTATCCGTGACATTCATCTCAAGTGGTGGGGGGGCGGGACCGCCAAAACCGTCTCGACACCCACCCACCACACCCTGTCGAGACATCGTTGCTTCGGCTTGCAGCGCCGACTTGTGCTCCCAAGGAGAACTTTCATTTTTCTGCCAACCTCCGGAGACTAACGCCTCGGTTGAGGCGGCGACTTCTGTCGCTGACTCTCGTGACTTTAGCTTCGGCCGAAGTTGCTGCAACTCTCACGAACGTGAGAACGCGCCTAGCCCGAGCCTGGATCGGACAGCCCGGTTCGCCCCGAGCAAAAAGTCCACTGTGCGAGTGATTGAGTATGATTGGAATCATTTCATATCTATATTTATGGAGTCTCGCCGTTGCATATTTCTGATGCCGACTTTTCCTCTTGAATAACATTCTTGAGTATGCGATTGGAAGTTTTTGGATTTTTCCGAGCTTAGCAAAAAGGTCATGAACAGTGGAGAATAAGTCCTGTTTACCCGATACCCGACGGACGGATAACCTCAACTTGTTGACGGTCCTGTCTTGTTTCGGCTTACCTCCTTGAACCCCCCCCCCTCTGTGTGTGTGTGTGTGTGTGTGTGGGTGGATGGGCACTTGGTGCATCGACAGTGACAAAACAAAACATTACGAGGAATCCCTCTATTTGTAGTTACGATAAAGAAGGAATTTATGTTTTATGTTTTCTTTTCATGTTTTCCTTTTCACAGTTCCATGTTTGCTTTTACTTACACTCTGGAATGCAGAAGATTGTTGCAAAACATGAGCAGCATTGTGCTCAAGGAGCACAAAATTTTGTTTCAGGGCAGGGGGGCGCTGGTGCTTAGTACCTTCGGGGAACGGCACTGGCTTCCACTCGTGTCGTGCACTCAGCATGGATGCGACGTCCGAAGACGAGTCATGGCCTGTGAACTCCCCTGCTGTGTCAGAGTCATCCAAAGAGGAGGTCTGCGTCGAGGAACCTGCGCCTACTGGCGCTGATGAGCTCTGGCCTCTTTTGACTGTGACCGATTTGCAGACGGTGCAGCTTGAATGGTCTCGCAGGCATAACCTGTTGGCCGAAGATGTGGCTGCCTTGGAGTTCCAAGTGCAGTCCCTCAAGGATGCAAACACAAGTCTCCGCAGGGAGTTGGCTGCCACTGCCACTCAAGATGCGCTGGCGGAGGTGAGTCACGCATTGACCTGTCTCGCCTTGGAGGTTCGTGGCCAATCTAGATGAACAGCTTCCACGAGCTCTCTGGACTGGCCCTGCGCTCTGCAGCTCGTTCGTCATAGCTGCTACTTCAGTTTTGTTGCGAGGGCAGAACTGCCCCCTTTTTCATGCAGGTGCCCCGCTTTACTGCAGGCGTGTTTACACATCCAGGTTCGTCATCGAATCTCCAGTGGGACCTGCATGTTAGGGGCTTATGCTGGCTAAGACCAGCTCAACTCTCAAGCTTCGGTCTGTGTGACAAAAGGCGGCCTGAGCCTCATATCTTTGGCAGTTTTTGGCATGAGTTGCTGCAGATTTTTGGCATGTAAACGTCATTTTGCATGGTCGCTGCATGGCACTCATGTTTCTGAAGTGAGCTTCGACTCTGCGGCATCACTTTCGGTGTGCTGCTTCAGATCTGCTGAACTTGCCGCGATTGCAGGTTTTGAGGCTCCTTCTGCTAGAAGGGAGAGATCAGGAGCAGACCACTTGACGGCTAGGGAACAGTGTCGCTCCTCATGGAAACGACCTTGACCCGTCGAGCAGTCTGGATCCATGAAAGCTTCGAGTTGCATCGGCCTCATGTCTCATTCCGCACCGCTGAGTTTGCTCATCGTGCCGCTTTTGACAAATTTTGTGAAAACATCCAGAAATCCCAGGAGCCGTTGGCCGAACAATTGAACCGAGAGGCCTGGGCTCGTCATGACATTTGCGAGGATGATGCTGCTTCTCTGACGCCTTCGGAGTCTGGAGATGCCGGTGAGGAAAGGGCTCCTCAAATCATCTTTGCTAGTCTCTCGGATGAACGCAAGGAGGCTTTGGCTGCCGGGTGCAGCCTGACAGCACCGACGCGAATCATGCATCGCGCTCCTTCTGGGCGCAAGCGCCCGGCGAGCTCCTCCAATTCGGACCGAGGCCATGGTCATTGGCTGCGCGGCCTCAGTGGCCGTCTTGATGACGTCGAGGGCTTCTGTGGGTCAATCATCGACAATAATTTCTCTCGCAGCCTTCATGCTCGCCTCCTCCGTGTGGAGCGACTGCTGAGTGTGCCCGAACCTTATAATCCATTAGGGCATTCTCCGTGAGATGCATGCAGCTAGCAAACCAGCACTGGTGCCGCCTGCCATGAGAAATCTTCAGAACTGCTTGTCTTCAGGAACACTTGTGCTTCTATCAGCGTCGTGCCTGTGCCTGTCAGGTCTTGACGGTTTCTAGCCGTTTGCAGGATCCTAGACCTCCATAGCGTGCCGCGGGCACTCTGCATTCGCGCTCTGCAAGGTGCGCCTGCCTGTGCTCTCCCGCGTGCTGTGCAACTTCAAGTTCTTGCAAATTGCCGAAAAGTGGGGCTTAAGTTCTAGGCATTAGGGTAATGGAGTTGCTGCGTGCCGAGCAGCATCAGAAGAAGAGACCCAAGCATGCTTGGGAGCAGGAGCCTCGGGGCATTGCGACCTTTACATCGGTCTCGATGGGGGCCTCATTCAAGTTGGGCCGTTCTGAGCACATGCTTTGGGAGCTCAGGGCTCAGCAAGGATTGAAGCAGGTTGATGCGATCGAGAATGTGAAACTTCCAGTGCTCCCATACGCAGCTAGGAGGGCGAAGATGATGGATTGGCCTGAGATAGCTGATGATATGAAGAGGAAGTCGTTGCACCTTGTTAGGATCATGGTGGAGTCTGATTTCCACGCCACGAAGCTCGGGACCATGCTTTACGAGCTTAGCGGGAGCCTCGACAAGGAACCTCAGATCCAAAGGACCATCGAGCTCACCTTTGCCAAGAAGGCCGCTGCTACCCTGCATAAAAGGACTCTGGCATTTTGGAAGATGTTCGTGTTCCACGTGGATCGGGGCCACAAGTCGGGGCTGCATATGAGCGAATCCAGCATCTTCTTGTACTTTGAGTCGCTGCAGGGTGGGTCTGCAACTGCTCCTCAAAGTGCCCTTGAATCGATATTCTTCATGCACACCCTCCTGGGCATTAGGGCGCCGATCGAGGACCTGGTGTCGCATCGCATCCGGGGCTTGGTCCACGAGGCTGCCATAACGAAGAGACCCTTAAAACAAGCGAGGGGGCTCACGGCGGAGGAAGTGCGATTTCTTGAGAAGCTTGTGGCGAAAAGTCCAGACACGGCCGTTGTGTGCATTGCAGGGTTCTTCCTCTACGCACTCACCAATAGCGCAAGGTGGGGTGATGCCCAGGCATCCACTTTGCCAACCATCGATGTCTCGGGGTCGCGGCCGGTCCTGAGTTCTGGGACGCTTCGGCACAAGTTGGCCAGCACAGCTGAGAGGAAGACCACCTTGCTTCCTTTTGTGGGGTTTGGTCAACTGGTCACAGGCACTGCCTGGGCACCGAAGTGGCTTGACGCCATGAAGAGGGCACGCCTGCCTAGGACTGGTGTGGACTACATGCTGCCCTCGTGGAATGAATCTTCCAGCCAGTTCATCCGGAGGCGGATGACGAGCGGGGAGGCCACTCTCCACTTGCGCGAGATCCTTAGTCAGATGGAGCATCCGCCGCTGCAACCTTTGCCATCGTCGCATAGCTTGAAGGTGACGCTGCTGGCTTGGATGTGTAAGTCAGGGCTCTTTTCCTTGTCCGAGAGACAGATCATTGGGCATCACCTTGATCGGCCAAGCACCAGCGCACTTACCTACGGGAGGGCTAACTTCGTGGGCCCTTTGGGAAAGGTGGCGGGCATGCTTACAAAGATCCAGGATGGGTCTTTCAGGCCGGATGCTTCTGCGGCTGATCTGATAGCGCAGCAGCTTCATCAGGAAGAGGTGGCATCGGACGAGTTGGAAAGGAAACTGCATGGTGCTCCCTGTGCCTGCGAGGACAGTGCCTCAGATGACATGGGGCATGATGATGCGGATCAGGCGGTGTCTGCAACGGTGCCGGCGGCTGAACGCCGCATGGTGGAGGCTCCTGATCCGGACCAGTATTTGGTCCACCTGTCCTCGGGTACGCTTCATGCATTGGACCCGGATTCTGATAGATTCCGATGGGAGGCCGAAAACACCGAATTATGTCAGGCCGAAGGCTTCCACTTCAAGCCCATACCCCTTCTGTCTGGTGTGCCAGCGTGCACAGGACGCAGGGGGTGAGGCAGCGGCTGCGAGCTGAACTCTGTCAGTGTTACTTGTGTCTGGGAGCTAATGCAGGACGGCATCGCAAGTGAAACTTGTAATGCCTCCATGTTGGGCCGTCGAGCCTGGCAAGGTTTTGTCTGCATCCTCCCTAGTGCGTGAGCCCCACACAGCCGACCGAAGTGTGAACAGCAGCGAAGCCCGGGCTTGCCCGAAGATAAGCTGCTTGGGGACCGCGCCGTCGTGCCGACCAAACACCTTCGGGGCTGGGCTTATATCTGGCAGCGAAGCCCGGAAAGACTCTGAAGATGAGCTGCTGGAATTTTTGGGCCGTCGTGCCATGGACGGCCTCTGGGAGTCTCGGAACCCGGGAAAAAGCCGACGTCGTGCCTGCACGGAACTGGCCAGCGGATCAGAAGCTGCTGGTTGCGCTCATGTCCAGGTCCCATGTCCGTGGACTCGCAGGCGGCCTTCAGGGCGGAGGCGATTCGCCTCGGGGTGTCTGAGGCGCATGCCGACTTGCTCATCACGAAGGGCATCCGTACGCACTCGCTGTTCGCCTTCATCTCCAGCTACCAGCCGGGTGCCAGTGACGAGAAGCCGTTCGTGGATGCATTGGTTGCCAAGCTTGGTGAGGAGGCTAAGGATTCGTTACCAGCCTTCCGGCACTTGTTCTACACAAGCCACACGCTAGCGGTCCAGGAGCTCAAGGACAAGCTTGAACCTCGCGAAGAAGCCGAACGCCTCTCTATGGCAGACAGAGTGGATCGCCTAGAGCGGCTCAAGAAGGCGCTGGTGGGAGTCACGATTGACACGTGGTTGGAGCCTAGCCACTCCTTGGTGGACAAGGCCGTTGGCTTTGCGGAGGAGGGGTGTCTGGGACCCTTGGAGCTTTCCCGCTGCACGTCGCGGGAGGCGGAAATGAGGTCAGAAAAACGTGACCCGGAAACTTTCCGCTTGGAAAAGCTGAACATCAAGGTCACGAAGCCCCCCACGACCTTGACAGCTGACACGTCCAGTGACCTACATGTTCGGACTTGTATGCAGCGTCGTGCTCTGGCATTCCACATGGCCGGCATTGCCACGTTCGTGGTGCTCGATAAGATCATCTCTCGCTTCTTCGGCTACATGATGCGCCCAGTGTACCCAGGACAGCAGCCGGTGACCCTGAGCCAGGTCGTGGACGCCGACAGAACGCTTTGGGTCTTGGTTGCGCAAGAGACTCGGGGCAAGGTCCTGACATCCGGGACTCCATTGCCGATTGATGCCGCTGTGGACGCCTTCAAGGACGCTCCAGACGTTGCTTTTGCCTTGATGCCCCGCACCAAGGGGTCAGTGCCTCCGCCTCCGAAGCCGTCTCCGACTGCTGGAGCTGAGGCGATGAGCCGTGCCAAGCGCCGCAGGCTTCAGAAGGCGGCCAAGTCCAAGCCGATCGCGGATTCAGCACAGCCCGGCAAGCCGTCGGCAGGAAGTTCGAAGGGAGGCGGCAAGGGCATTGATATACCACCGGGGGCGAAGACTCGCGATGACCAAGGCAGGCCAATCTGCTTCCGTTACAATCGCAAGGCTTGTGACCAATCCAAAGAGAAGTGCCAGCGCGGCTATCACGTGTGAGGCCATAGCTTTTGGACCGGAAAAGTTTTCCGCAGTGGGGCATTCTCCCACCGACCTTCACTGCGCCGAAGTTCTTGCAAGTTCTTTCAGCTCTCCGCCTACGGCGAAGCAGCTCCTTTCACTTTTGGATGTGCTGCCACCTGAAGTACCTGCCCGCGGACGACCGGGCGATTTCTCGTGGACCACGGGATCGTGGTCGAAAGATGGTTGCTACGGCCTTCGCCGCCACAGCCACATGTTTCCGACGGTTACCTCTGCCCTGACGGCGTATGTCCGAAGCATTGCTCCCGAGCATACCTTTACAGCGGTGGCACTTTTTGCAGATCTCCAAACAGCGCCCCATCGTGATGTGAACAATTCCGTGGGGGCTCCTAACCTCTTGCTGCCGCTTACTGAGTTCCAGGAGGGTCAGGTCTGGCAATATCACGAAACGGGGCCTTCCTGGCAATGGGTTGAAGGTCGCCATCTTCCCGGCATGCTTTTGGATGTTTCCAGAGGCCCTTGTTCTTTGGACTCCCAGGCCTTGCACTTCACACTTCCGTGGCGAGGCAAAAGGGTTCTCGTGGTGGCTTTCACGCCTCGCTGCGACGACCAAAACTTCGACTTCGCACAGCTTGTGGCGCTAGGCTTCAATGTGGGTCAGGCGGGCCCGTCCCCGCCTCAACCTTTACGACAACATCTCGAGCTCTTGGGCTTCAAAGTCCAGTTGCCACCGTGTGACCTACATGCAGTCAGCTTCTCCTGCGAAGCTTCCGAGGCCTTAGCAGTCGAGGCCTTTTGTGGTCGTGGGCGCTTGTCCGTGGCACTTCGTGATCAAGGCCTCAGTGTTCTTCCAGTTGATCACCGCGTTCGCTGCACTGATCTACAAGTTCTTCGCCTTGACCTTCAGGATGATCATGATGCTTCCATCTTCTTGGAGATGCTCTCCACGGCTAATGTTTGCTTGGCTCACTTCGGGCCGCCTTGCGGCACCTCAAGCAAGGCCCGCGAGCTGCCGTTGCCTCCGGAGCTTTCGCATCTGCAGTCTTCCCCGCTGCGATCCTTGGCATCCCCCTTTGGTCTGGATGGACTTCGGCCGTCGCAAGCAGCTCGCGTCCATTCGGCCAACAAGCTCTATGTGCTCACCTTGGTCTCGATTTGGATCTTGCATGTGCGCGGCGCACTGGTCAGCTGCGAGAATCCTTCGTCTTCTTTGTTCTGGCGGGTGGCCGATCTCCTGGCACAAGATCTGCCGGACCCCGCGGCTTGGCAGGTGTTGGAGGATGTTGCGTTCCATGCTTGCATGTGGGGCTCCACTCGCAATAAGCGTACCACCTTTCGCGCAACCCCGGGCCTCTGCAGCGGCTTGCGGCGCGATTGCGATGGTTCTCATGAACATTTGTCGTGGACACCGACTGCAACACCTTCCGGTGTTGTCTTCCCTACATCAGGCGAAGCCGAGTACACCAAGGAGCTGGCGGCTGCGTATGCCGCCTTTTCTCTCCGTGCTCTTCAACTTCGAGGACTCCGCACAGAACGCTCTCATGTGGGCCCCGGAGTCCTTCGGCCTCGGGATCTGCGTTCCTTCACTCGTAAGAGGGTGCCACCGCTTCTTGCAGAGTATTGGCTTGTGGCTCCCCGCGACTGCGTACCACCAGAATGGCCTCAACGGCCCCTCCCAAAGCATGTCCTTTTTCCGAAAACGGGGGACGAGGTCATCACAGTATCTTCGGTCGCTGAAGTTCGGGCTTTGGAAGCGACTAATGCTGTCAAACCGTCAACATTGGTGGCTCTTAAGGCATTGGCGGCGACTGGCGCCGAACCAATGGTTGGGGTGCTTCGACGACCCCAACAAACCGTGCTGGCTACCAGGTGCTTGTCCCACCCGCTTGAGCTGAATCTTCCTTTGCCGGACATCCTTGTGAAGGCCGTCGTGAACGTCCTCAGAGTAGGACCTCGGGGCATTGCTTTTCATCGTGCTACGGTCTTGCAGAAGCTGCTGGTCAGGGCGGAGGCGCTCAAAGATCGTGAACGCGAGCTTCATTGTGGCTTGCATCCGGATCTTCGTAAAGTTCTTGCGGGGAAAAACACCATATTGTGGGAGCAGCTTCTGAGGGAGTCTCACTTTCCCGATCTGGGCCTTGTCGATGAGGTAAGGGGAGGCTTTGAACTCGTGGGTCCGGCGAACTGCTCTGGAGCCTTCCCCATGGCTTACAAGCCGCCGCAGCAGTCAGTGGAGAAGCTCATGCAGCAAGCCGTGTGGCGCCGGAAGAACACCATCTCCAAGTGCAAGCCGACTGGCGATACGGCTGCAGACGACGAGCTGTGGTCGCAAACTCTTGGTGAGGTCGAGCAGGGCTGGATCGATGGTCCCTATTGGGCTGAGAGCGAAGTCAGTGAGAGGCTCGGCAGCGCCGAGTGGATGTGCACCAGGAGATTCCCCATCGTCCAGGGGCCGAAGGTTCGCATCATAGATGACTGCCTTCAGAGCGGTCTGAACTCGGCTTATGCGGCATACAACAAGCTCAGGTTGATGGACGCTGATGCGTTTATCTCCCTGGTTCTCTTGCTTATCCGATGCTCGCACCAGCCCGGCAGCATGATTCAGCTCGATTCAGGGGAACAACTTGTTGTGAAGAGACACCCCGAATGGGGCGATGGCCTGGATCTTCTCGGCAAGACTTTGGATCTCTCCGCAGCTTACAAACAACTGGGCTGCCGGCCCGATACAAAGTTTAATCGAGTGTTAGTCGCTTGGAGTCCAGAACGCCGTGCGCCGGCGTTCTTTGTGTCTACTGCCCTGATGTTTGGAGCGTCATCGGCAGTCTTTTCCTTTAACCGCTGCTCGGCATCCCTGTGGCACCTGGCAGTGACGATGGGTTCAGTCTGCTGCACTGTGTACTTCGATGACTTTCCTTGTGCGGAACCATCGGCCTCGTCGGGCTCAGCGCAGGACTTCATGGTGGGGCTTCTGTCCACTTGCTTGGGGTGGAACGTCGCTCTGCAACCTAAGAAAAACCAGCCTTTCTCTCAGACCTTCACCTTGCTGGGCATTGAGCTTTCATTGAAGACGGCGGACCAGGGCATCCTGAAGGTGCGCAACAAGCCGGACCGCGTCTTGGAGCTGCGTGCTGAACTTGACCGGCTTTTGTCACAGGGCTACATGAAGAGGTCTGAGGCGTCTTCCTTGCATGGACGCTTGAACTTCGCTCAGGGACAGCTTCACGGTTGTCCCATCAAGCCGGCGCTCAAGTTCTTGTCGCAGGTGGCGGCCAACGGCTGGGATGATGCCCTGGCCGACGATTTCAAACTTGTGATTGGCTACATCGCAGCTTGCTTCGCTACGGACTCCCCGAGGGTGATACATGCTCTTGATTCGCGGTATGCCATCAAGCTCTTTACAGATGGCGCATGGGACAACAGAA